GAGGGAGAGGGAGAGGGAGAGGGAGAGGGAGAGGGAGAGGGAGAAGAAGAAGGTGGGAGAGAAGCACCACTGGGTTGCCTCCCAATATGCCCTGAGCAGAGATTGAACCCACAACCTAGCTATGTGCCCTGATCAGAATTGAACCCATAACCTTTTTGGTGTATAGAATGACACGCCAACAAACTGAACCACCCAACCAGGGCAGTACACATATACTTTTAAACACATAATATGGCTTGTCTGCATATACTTTATTATAGGTGTTGCTAACAATTTTTAAAAATGTATTGTTTATTATTAAGAAGTAATAATTGGGCCAAAGAGTGTTGTTATAAAATACATTCTTTAACTCAGCCAGAGAGCATAATTCTGAGTTACCGAGAGTTGTTGAATACCAAGCCTTAATACTCAATGTTGTCTCTCTTATGTTGCCATGTACCAATCAATAAGATTAAATCTATATCAAGAGTTGAATACAACTTTGAATATGAAGGAATTTTGGCTTCTAATACAAAAAGAAAATGAACAACTCAAATGTCCAAATGGCATGTACAAAAGAACAAAATAAATGAAACCCTTCCCTTTTTTTGGTCACCATTGTGTGCATCTGAGTCCTTCAGGCACATAATTTTCTGTTTGTTTTCCTATTCATTTTAAGTTTGACTTCTCTGCAGACACTGTAATTATGTAGCATATAACTACTAATCCATCAACTTTTTAAGGACAGATTTCAAATTTTAAATTATTTCTAATTTTTCTCATCTTTGATTTTTCTTGAACCAAAACTCTCAATAGCCATTTGCTATCTGTAATCTATAATTCATGGACTGAGACTGAGCACCAAGCCTAATTCAAAGTTGGAAGTCTAAAGCTATTTCTGAGTAGCACATCAGCCAAAGCTATGATGGTCTCCTTCAGACAGGAAGAAACACTTCATTACTCTGTAGGTAATGAAACCCTTGCACACACACACATTCAAACATCCAACAATGTCTTAATACCATGTTTTTGAAGTATAATCATGTTTATTCTGATCATTTGAGAGTTAGACCAGCTAATGTATCTAATCAAATATTGATGCAAGTCATCTAGATTTAGATCTCTGGCAAATCCTTCCCAATGCTTTTCTGTTAACAGAACTATGAAAGCTATTTATATTGTTTTTCTCAGAAGGCATACATCCATAGTCTGCATCTACGAATACCTATTAGTAAATCTGGCTTAATCTCATGTGTTTAGATGACAAAAAGATTTCAGCATGGCCAGAAAAATCACATGATTCACCCCGAAAAGAAAAAGCAGACAAGGAAATTTGGATCTTCTGTTAATTATGTTCACAACATCCTTATGGTCACCTCTTAGACTAAATACAACCAGACAAAAAATAAAAGATAAAATGGATGTAAGAACACTGAGGTCCCAGGAACTGCTCAGGTACCTTACAGACAAAACTAGGTGGCAAAATTGTCACCTCCAAAAAGTGACTCAAAGTGAGAATAGTTTTTAATATCTTTGGAAATACCTATATTCAGAAATATGAAAAACAAGTAAGAGATGGTTTTTCATGTTCAGAAAAGGTTAGGATGATGCATATCATAAATATAGGTAGCTTAAATGTCTGTTTTTTTAAATTTATCTTTATTGTTGAAAGTATTACTGATGTCCATCCTTTTTTCCCATTGACTCCCTCCACCCTGAACCCTTTCCTCCTAGGCCTTTACCACACTGTTGTTTGTGCCTGTGGGCTATGCATACCTGTCTATCTATGTTTTATGTTCTTATCTATGTAAAATTATACATAAATATTTTTCATCAATATTTTTCATCAATATTTGCAGCCCTACATATATCATATGTATATCTAACTATCATCTTTATTTGTAATCTAATTTAATTCTTCATAAGATTAACAGAAGGAACTATAAAAAGGCTGCTTTAGCCCAACTTTAAGAGTTTCTGTTGTTCAAGAATTATATCAATGTCAAACTTTAGTTTTTATTTTATAACATTGATAACTAGGATGCTAAACTCACAATACAAATAAAACTCAACCACTCAGCTCACACAATCCAGTTCAGAACTAGTCATACTGACCATCTGTATTGTCATAGAGGCTAGGATAATAACCTCTAATTTTTGTTATTTATGGCGAAATAGCACAAAGAATAAGAAATTGACCCACAATTCCTTATTTTAAAACAAAATTTATTTTTCCTTCTTGATTCTGAAAATTAACATTCTAATCACTTTTGGCTTTAGTCTTGATTTCTAGGCAAGTATGTTTAGCTTTTCATTCTTTCTTTTTTGTTCTTTTTTTATAAATAACATTATCATATCTAAGGGAATACCTAAATAGAATAATACTAGAACCAGAAAAATAATTTATTCTAAACATAATTTATTCTCAGGTAACCATATGAGGTGATGGATGGAAAGTATTTTAGCTTTTCATTCTTTCTTTTTTGTTCTTTTTTTATAAATAACATTATCATATCTAAGGGAATACCTAAATAGAATAATACTAGAACCAGAAAAATAATTTATTCTAAACATAATTTATTCTCAGGTAACCATATGAGGTGATGGATGTGTTAACTAATTTTAATAGTTAAAAGTGATTTAAAAAATTAACCTGGGTCAAAATTTTTTGGATAAACCTGAATTAGCATCTGAAAAATACAGAACAAACTAGAAACCAGTTATTTTTCTCTAGTTAGAATTCAGATAGAAATGTCACCAAACTATACTTCTATAAGACCCAATATATTAATTTCATTGATGCATTTAAGAACAGAACTGATTATTCTTCAAGAGTCAAAATATTCTTTGAAGACATTTAATATATTAATTATAATAATCCAGTTTCTTGGATACTAAATGATATAAATTATAAAATATACCCATAAAGCTATTGGTTACTTTGGAATATAAAAGAGAATTAAATCTCACATAAAATAGAAAAAGATCAACCTCCATAATTTAAAGTTATTAATTGCCAAAGGGATTTTAGTAACATCATCTGTTAAATATTAAGTTTTTCAATTTACTATTTTTCAATAATTTCATCTGTTCTTTTCATTCAATGAAACATGATTGAATTATTAATAACATTTACTTGTCCAAAAATTCTAATTATGCAATATGATAAGGTCCAATTTTTATAGCTGTTCAGCTCTCTATATCCCCCTAACGCACACTGGTAAGTGTAATTTATGACAAGGTGGGAGAAATGACAATGAATGCAAATAGTTTATTATAATTAGTGAATCTTACTTATGTATGTCTGAAAGTTCTACAAATCTAAGTCAAGCATTCTAGGTTTGAACCCCAAACATCTAGCAAATACATTGCAAAATTCAATGACTTCTGAATTTTGAATGACAACAAACCAACCAAAATTCAACAGAAGAAAAGGAGTCGGTTTTTTCACAATTACTTTTGCACAACTAGTTGCAAATGAAAATGCACATGAAAATGTCGCAACAAGGTAGTCTTATTTTGATTACCTAGATACCTCAGATTCAGAAGGAACAGGGATAAACTGAATATATGTAACTCTCTTACCTGAAAGACATTCTTTCTGCTTGATTTTTCCTTGGTCCACTCAATATGTGCTCCACACAAATCCACACTTTCTGGTTTGTGCCCAGTTTTCTGTAAATAAAAATGAAATAAGAATAAAAAGCATACAACATTGGTGATGCATGTCAGAAAGAAATTTATTGAGTTAGCAGCTATACATATTTATGATATAAAGCCTTTCTCTTTTAGTTTCAAAGAGATATCTGAACCCTCATGTTCTCTGCAGTATTATTTACAATAGCCAAGGCATGGAAACAACCTAAATGTCTGTCAATGAATGAATGAATAAAGAAAATGTCACACACACACACACACACACACACACATTCTGCAAAAATTATTCAGCCATAGAAAAGAAGGAAATCTTGCCATATGTGACAACATGAATAAACCTAAAGGGTGTGAAGTAAGTCAGACAGGGAAAGACAAATACTCCATTATCTCACATATATTTGGAATCTGAAAGATTAAACTCATAGAAACAGAGTGTAGTTATCATGGGTTAGGGAAATGGAGAGTCTTTAGTCAAAGGGTACAACCCTTTAGCTATAAGTTCTGGGGATCAAATGTACAGCGTAATTAAAATAATTGACATTGTACTATATGTTTGAAAGTTGCTAAGAGAGTAGATTATAAGGGTTCACATTACAAACATGCACACACACACACACACACAGGTAACCTTATGAGGTGATGGATGTGTTAACTAACTTTAATGTGGTAATAATTTTGCAATATATACAGGGTGGTGCAAAAGTAGATTAACAGTTGTTTGTATAGAAAATAATACAATAATTAATAATAAACTCTGCTTTTTGTGTACTCAGAATTGTAAACCTACTTTTACTCCCCTTGTATGTATTTAAAATCATCATATTGTACACCTTAAATTTATACAGTTATTTGTCAATTACATGTCAATAAAGCTGTAAAAGGAACAAATGTAATCAATATTTCTTAGGTGGCAATTGTGTATCTCTTAGAAATTTATTTTTCAGATTTTTAAGACTATACACATAAGTATATGTTTATTTGTATTTAATAAATTTAACTTAGACCAAGTAGATTACAGCATATGCTTCCTTTTGCTCAGTACAGTGTGGGTGTTACTTAAAAGCTGTTTTACTTCTTTAATTCACAATACTCAATTAATGAGAATATCATTTATACTTGCCTCTTCATATCTTCATTTTGTTCAAATGAATCATACTTATATAAGTTTACATTTGCATAACTCCAAATATTAAGCAAAAGTTTACTAGTTTTGGAAATTTCTTAACAATTTTTAAAGAAAGTGATGCCAGATTTCAAAGACTCCACTATTTTTCTATGTTCTGAGCTTCTCTAGATTTCTCTATAAATGCAGTACTTTTCTCAAACCATTTTTCATAGAATACAATTTTTGTATATAAGGCTTATGCTATTTTTAGACAATGTTTTTAACAGTATAAACTTTAGGCTAAAACATGAAATTATCAAAGATTGGTAAAAATGTTAAATCTCTGCTCAACTGTTGCCTTGTAACCACTATGATCCATTCTATCAGTTTAATAGAAATAGACTAGTTTCAGAAAAAGCCAGACGTCTGTGTTTTTTAAAAATACTAATTTGTGAGGATCTTTTTTGGCAACTCAATAAAATTGTGGGGTTTTTTGAAACATTGTACAATTCAAGCATAACTTTCCTTCCGGATAAATTCAGCTGGCAGGACAGCCACTGATAGCATATCTTTCTTTTGTTATTCGGTAATAATCTCATGAGACTCCAACCAAGATAAGCATGCCCCTTATAGATGCTCAGTCAGTGAAATATTTTTACTGGTCCATACACACTCTACAGCTCAGGTGATCATTATTGTGCAACATATAGAACCATGCAAATGATCATTGTCAAGTGAGTTATGACATGGAAAAGTTACAAAACAACCTGCTTCTTCTGCAGTTAATTCAATTATAGGATACTCAGAACCAACAAAATAACCATTAGGATTATGCAACCAAAGATATTCCTTTCCCATAGAGTGCAGTCAGGGGAAACAAAGATGGAATTATTTTGTACAAGAAGCATTTTTCGTAACTATCCATTTATTTAATTAAACAACTGTATGAGGTAGGTATTGTGATCACCATGTTACAGGTAGGAAAACATTTCAAGGTGGTTAGGTAAACTTTCTGGGTAAAATAGGTAGCAAAGGAGGAGCCAGGATTGAAATGTGATCAGTATCACACCAGAGTCTGTTCCTAACCACTATGTAGTCCTTGAAAACGGAATTTACACTATAATCATACTTATGTTAAAACATGTCATATTTTGGGGAAAGATATGCCTTTCATACTGTAATACAGACATATTGACGTGGTTTCTCTTCTTCTCTGTTAAATTCGATCTTCCCATGAGAACATCTTCCCACCACTTTACCTGGAATACCTCCCAATCTTCACACGGCTGACTCTTATCCATCAGAACCCAACCAAATGTCACCTTGTCAGAGGTCTTCTCTGACTGTCATATAGAAGAGTGGCATTTCAGCACTCCTGATTACTCTCTATCTCACAACTTGTTTCAATTTCACCACAGCCCTCCTCCTCGCTGAAATTAACATACATATTTTTATACGCTGTCTGTTCTCCCACTAGAATCAAGCTCCAGGAGCCAGGGCCTCCTTTGCCTTTTCCTCCACTATTTTCCCCAATGTATGGAACAGTGCCTGGCACATAGTTGTTGTTCAATGAACATTTGCCGAACTCATGAATGAAGGAAAAATACCAAAATGCAGCTAGCTTTTGTGCTTTCAAAGGAAGGTTTGGGTGCCTTAAAATTCCCTATTTTACAACAATTAAAATTTGTATTTGGTTTAATGGTTAAACACTTTTTGCTTTGTGATTTGGAAAAGTAATAACCAGTTTAATGGACTCATATGGATTAAACCTAGGATTTCCCAGAATCACTCAATAAGCATTTATTGTATATCTATCATGTGTCAATGTACCAGCCACGCTACATTGGGTGTATCTCAATCCAAACTCTGTCCCCTCCTGGTGCTCTTTCAGGACCTTGCTCCATCCTTATATTCTTCATGAACTCACTGCTTCACCTGCTCTCCACTTTAACAATCTTCTATCAGCTTCTCATCTAACAAATTCCGCTTTCTGAGTTTTCCTTACTCCCATCCTATTATGTTACTTTTGATATTATTGAAGCAGCAGACCTTTGTGCATTCTCCCAGACTCTCAGGCTTTTCCTGGTTTCACTTCCTTTCACATCCAGGCCTATGTCCCTGATTCAGCAGCCACATCAGCCGCTCTCCCCATCAGTGTCAGTCTGTCGGTCTGTGTCTGTCCTGCATTCAGTGATCCATTCCTCTCTTTCATTCACTTTTTATTGTTATACAATCTTCCTTGTACTCCCTAATTCTGGAAAAATAACTTTTGACTACTCAGTATAAGAACATTACAAATAAATGACTGCTTTCTTCAAATAGGCTTCTGACTTTACTTAGCAAAGCTTTTTTTATTATTATGATAAGGACATTTAACATATCCATGAAATCATTGCCAAGTCTAATGTCATGAAACTTGGCAAACTTTTTATGTGTTCCTGGTCACAGTCTCATGACACTGTTCTCTCTTTCAAATTAGCCCATCAAATTTTCCCCTAATTCACAGAGGTCAGCCCTGGTGTTAGAACACTCACAATTCTTCCCACTTTCCTGGTTAGCCTGTGTGATCAAAATGAACAAACCAACCAAAATACACTTTGATAAATTCCTATATGTCTTGCCCTCTGAAAGTTTTATATCAATTTCTCCTGTATTCTTTACAACAATGTGAAGTTATTATTGCCTTAACTTACATGTGAAGAAACTCAAGCAGGGAGTGGGTAAGTGCCTTACATAAGCTCCCACACTTAATCAGTGTCGGAGCTGAGGTATGTATTCACTTTTTTCTGACTCCAAGACCCAAGTTCCTAATCACAACACATCCATGGGCTCTTTCCTATATCTACCCTTTCCTCCTACTAACTCACTTTATGCCCTTTTTAGGTCCAAAAATAAAAGTTCACGTTTCTTATTTCCTCCTTCTGCTATCATTTCTCATTCTCCCTCTTGGCTCCCAGAATTATGAATGTGGGTCTGTGACTCTGGTCCACCTATCTAATGAACTCCCATGCTTGGGATAACAGTGGCATATGCAAACATTAAAATGATTGGGCCTGTCAGTGCTGTCCATTGCATAGACAACTCACAGACATGTCCTGTTTTGTCTCAGAGGAAATGATGCTCCTTTGGCCCAAGCTTTTCTTTGTTTTTTGTGTGTTTTTTTTTCCTGCTAGTTCCTAACTCTATACCATCTTATTCTGTTAAGGGCACAAATAGAATATTGGAGACTAGCTATAGTTATAAGAAATATTGATCATGCTCTTTCAACCTTGATTGCTTTGTTCTCATTAAAGAAAGCACATTCTAACTTGGCTGGGAGTTGTATGCCCCTTGGACCTATCAGGCATCTTCTTCCAGATTCTTCTTTCACCTTTTATCCCCTTCCTTCTCTGTTGTTATTATTGTTGTTGTTGTTTTCACTGACTTGTAAGTGTTGGTAATCCTTGGCTTACTATTCTAGGCCTTCATTATTCCTCATAGTCTACACTTTCTATGGGATTTAGATTTGCCTGTGTCTGATCCATTACTTATAACATGTTGACCCCTTAAGCGTTCCTCTGAACCTCAGCTCCTTCTTATGTGGCAGAACTATGTTTTCTAACTAAGTACTGAGAAAATTAATAAACAGAAAATTCATTTAAGATGGAGTCAGGAGGCTAGAAGGGAGAACTCTCACAGGTGTCACTCAATGCACACAACTGACCCCAACAGGAAGAGACTCATCTTGCATCTCCAGCAGGAGGAAGAAAAGATTCCTCCTTGTCCAGTAACAGCTCAGTCAATGAAAAGTCATTACACTTACCATTTGTGACAGCCTGGATGGACTTATGCAAAGTGAAATGGGTCAGACAGAGAAAGACAAACACCATATATCACTTATATGTGGAATCCAAAGAACAAAATAAGCAAACAAAACAGAAACAGACTCACAGATACAAAGAATAAACTGAGGGTAGCCAAATGGGAAGAGGATTGAAGGGCTGGATGAAAATGTGAA